AATACAACTAATAAGAAACTGAAAACTGCGATGTACAACTTACAACGAGTAAACATGTTAACGAAAAAACTTTTATCAAAAATTTATTATCATGACATTAGTTAAAGTATGATCAAATAGCATAGAAAAATAGACTTTTATTTTCTCTATTAGACTGTATAGAAAAAAAGTTTCGTCGAGCTTTCTATAAGGAATTGATATACCTCCACCACCACTTTTGGAATGACCTAAGTACTATGTGAATAACTCCTGAATGACTTGGTTATTTTTGCTCAAATTTACACCGAAGATTAACTTCTCAGATTTGTATGTCCAGTAAAAAATTCAGCCATGAATCTCTTATCATTCTCGAGATATTTACATTACACATTATACGCTGACGAGAGACATTTTTCATTAAAACAACATTTTTTATATGGCATATTTACATTGAAATATATCTTATCTCAGTTAATGCGTGGTAAAGTATTGGGAAACTTTCCCTGCGTAATATACGCATAGAGTGTAATAAAATGCACTGCTCAGACGTTATTTAGATCTACTTTCAGTTTTTTTGCACCAGTCGTATGAAAAAGTTGCAATTCATTCATATATAGACACATGTATACAAAGACATCAGACAACGTGTCTTGAAGACTAAACAAGAATCTAAACAGAATAGATCCAAGAAGTTTGATTAGTATATATTTCAACAACATTCTCTTTAGATCATGTTTCATAAAAATATTGAGTCTCTTATTCCTTATACATTACTTGTCAGATCTGTTCAATTTGATTAGCTTACATTATTTTTTAGGAGATGCTTGTATTCCAAATCCTTGCTTGAATGGTGGAGCTTGTATACCAAATGGATTTGGTGGATTTACTTGTCAATGTCCACCAGGATTTAGTGGTCAAAGATGTGAAGATCGTAAGATTTTCAATTATTTCTATGTTGCATGTTTTTTTTTATATCTTCGGCTTATATAAGGTGATCCTTGTGCTTCTCAACCTTGCATGAATCAAGGCAATTGTATACGAGATAATGGTGGTTTTCGTTGTGTTTGTCCATCAGGATATTCAGGAAGTCGATGTGAAATTCGTGATGCATGTCAACCTAATCCTTGCATGAATGGAGGAACATGTCGACCTATAAATGGAAATGGTGGATATCAATGCATGTGTCCATCTGGATTTACAGGTTTACGTTGTGAAACAAGTATGTTTATTTATTGAAACGTAACATCTTCT